GGCCTCTTTTATCTGAGCTGAAATTATATCTTGGTTGTGATGCTTAGTTAAACTGGTTTTCTTCCATGAAGGCTTGGAGTTAAAGCCTTGTTTCTTCCGGGCTACTGTGTTAAAACATATATGCTGTGTCTGTGTTGGAGCAAACCCATTCCTAGGAAGCTGACTGCTCATCACTGATTAAGAATGGAAGGGGCCCTGCCTTGGTCATGACCAAAGGCACCCAGATCAGAACAGGAATGGTTAGAATTAGAATAAATATAGCTTCTGCTAGTGGAATGAAGTATTAATTCGCTCAACTAGTCTTAATTTGGAAAGCTCAGGTTCTTAATTACTGTCTATGATTAGAATTAAGGGAGAGTAGTAGATATTAGCTCACATAATGAGGCAGCCTTTCAGATATTTTGAGCATAAAGCAAACTGTATGTCCACTGACAGCACAATCCTTAAAGACCTCAATTTTCACCAATGACAACCTAGTTAGCCTCCTGTTAGAAATTCATTAAATAATTTTGTTACTTGGCTGGGAGAGAGGCATCAGTAGACCTGTGTGAAGCGGCTAGTATTCGATTCGGATTTGGCCAATTTGGGGGACAGTGATTCAATTCAGTGATTAGAATCATTGCCCTGAATTGATTCGGCTGAATCTGATTCGGAGATTCGGCCGCCGCCCCCTACTTACCGGCATGGAGTCCAGGTCCAGCTCCCTGCGGTGGCAAGTGGGGACTGCTTTATTCTCTCTAAAGCTCTCTGAATCTTTTCCAAATCAATTTGGAGAGCTTCGAATCAATTTGGACCTTTTTATTTGTCTCCTGATTCATTTTGAATTCGGCCACCAAATCGGGTTGAATCTCCTCCCAATCGAATCGGCAAATGAAGCTTTGCCCAGCCCTAGTCAGCAGTAGTACAATGCATAATTAAGCTAACGAACACAGGGGCTTTCCTGCACTATGGCTATAGCTGTGCACTCAGCTACATGCATAGCTGTTTGCTAGCAGAGCCCCATTGGTAAAGACATGGCATATATAGACAGAATGGGTTTTCTCTGCTGGCTTTGCTCCACTGCCTCCCTGAATAGCATATGCAAAGCTTAAAACAAACAAACACAAAACCCACTCCTTTTATCTGGGCTGTGTCTACTTTTGCTGGCATCTTTTTACATCTCTAACTGACATAGCTGTGCCAATAAAACTTTATAGGTTAGGCTACACCTTGAAATCTAGTCTAATACAATATTGTATGTCTGCTTCTGCAACCCTCTTCTAATCTGTAGTTTTATGTCATGTGAGGTTCCTTTCGGGTCTTATGTATGAATCATGGAAATTGCGCAAAGCTAAATTTCCAGGAGAGAGGCTAATATACAGGATGGTTGACATGACATGAGTATATTTTATGGTTTTATGACATGATAATCCAGTAGCTGCACGTAAAATGGAAGCCTGTCTCTTTCAATCTCTGTGGCAAATACTGGTCTCTAGCTTCTGTTGACTCCTGAGCCACATTTTAAGATCTTAACTTTAGGCATTTGGGTTTGAATGGTTTAGCCACAGCTTTATGCCTTGGAGAAGAGATTTTAATAAAAGGCAAGTCAACTTTACAATAAAAAAATTAAGAGCTCATTCTCCAGTCTCTTTCACAATAAGCTCTTTGTTTATATTGGCAGGAAAGACATTTTGAGATGAGAACATTTGTGGGTTGTTGGTTTTTTTTTAAACAACTCCCCCCAACTTTTATTCTGGTTCTTTGTGAGGAAGTGGTTTTGATCACCATCAAATTAGATTCAAGAACATGCATGGCTGCAGGAAAAAAACTAGAATGTTTGCATACATTAAAAAAAAATTATTAATAAAATAAGTAGCAATGCATGGTGACTTGAAGTAAAAATAAGCCCATAATGGTGCTCTCAAATGTTCTGCAATGCTCTTCATAAGAATATACAGTCTAATTTATGTGGGTTGCCTTAGTTAAGATGAAATTCCCCTCACTGCATATGACCTATTCAATAGCATACTTCTTCTCACTATGGTTATTTATGCAGCGTAATGTCTGACCCGCTCTTTTATATGTTTTGCTTGATTTATTGAACAAAAAGTAATTGAGCATTTATTAGGAATGAAAAATATCTAGTCTGTTTGAATAATCCTCAGGCTCTTTCTAATGACCAGTCTGCAGTACCCCAAACAGTGTTTGGTTAGCTCAGCCGGGTGTGCATTATAGGGCAGGCTTGTAGTGCTTTAGTTTGGATTAATTCCACCACTTGTTATGACATCTTTTGGCACTGCTGGAAAATGCATTCTAGAATGTACCAACATCTGTCTAATCTAAACCTGTTTTACTACAGTCTGTTCATAATCTAGTAAGATTATATAACACTATTCAGCAATCATTTTATGTAAAATGGTTTGAGATTCTCCTTTGTTTGTGAGCCTACACAGCCCAAATATGCTGCTGAGGAAGTAGGGAATATAGCTGCTGTAGACTGGTGCTGAGTGTTTGCCCAACTCCACTCTCTCACATTCCCAGTCCAGGGGATGCTCAGGTCTATTCTGAAGCAGCTTGGTTGCTAGTAGTTGGTATGTGCCCAGCAGCAGAAGTACAAGTAGCTGTTACCTAATATTTTTTTAATGCTTGAGACGGTTGAGGGGGAATCTGTAAAGCAATCAACCAAAACTATATGTCTGTATGTATTGTTAGAGGTAGAGAGAGAGAGAGTGTGTGTGTGTGTGTGTGTGTGTGTGTGTGTGTAACACACTCTCTCTCCCTCCCTCTAACAACCCGTCTTGTGACCTGCTGTGGTTCACTTGACAGTCTAAAAAACACACTTTTACAGTTACATCATTCTTAGTCCCATTAACAAAGACTGCACTGTGCACCTGCGTTCCCGCATGCTCATGCACTGTCACAATTATGCAAAAGACTACTTCAGTCCCTGCCCCCACTTCCCTTCCCAACTCCTCCGCCTGTTTGCCCAGTCCTTTTACTCTTTTACTCTTGATTCCTTTCTTTTCTCAAGTTATCCACGGAAGTCCATTAACTATATTTCTTTGTCAACAGGTTGCTGGTTGGAGCACCTCGGGAGAAAGCTTTCCCAGCCCAGCAAGCTAACAGAACTGGAGGATTATATTGGTGTGACATTATATCAGAGACATATTGCACACGTGTCATGTTTGATGAGAAAAGTAAGCTCTCTCCTATTTTTGTTTTAAACTGAAGCAACTGCATGGGGCACAGGGCTGTCCAATTTCTAAGTGGCCTGGGGCAGCTGGAGGCTGGAGCAGGGTGCCCAGGGCTCCTGTTACAAATGAGCTGATGAGAGTTGTGGCTGAGCAAGAGTCCTGGGACTGTAACTTAACCATGCAGCCAATGGGCTGCCAGTTGGACAGTCCTGGCTTATCAAACAGCAGGGTCATGAGAGTCTTTACAACCGGATGTGATCATCTTTTGTTCATTTAAAAAAAAAAAAAAAAAAAGGGAAAAGTTACTTTTTAGAAACTTTAAATATATTTACAGTTGTTCTTATCTGTTTTTTGAAGATGCATAAATCTTGGTTTAATTACTAAAGCTGCATTAAAGCAACAAAAATCTGTGATAAAACTAATGTTGATTGCCAATTAAGACTTTGTGACAACATGTATAAACAGTGCCACCTAAAGACCATTTGAGGTACTATGTAAAACTGCTGAAAATGTTGCAAAAAATGTTCATTTTACTGCTTTTAATTGTAATATGGGAACTGTTTTGTGGTGATCTACAGCTGACCCAGAGAAAGAAAGTAAAGAAGACCAGTGGATGGGTGTAACTGTCCGAAGCCAGGGACCAGGAGGGAAGGTGGTGGTAAGTCTGGGATATTCTTAAACATCTTTTCAGGCTTATAAGCCATGTAAGAAAGTTACCTGGAGAGGTGTAACCTTTCAGAGCACTCTGTAGATTTTGTTGTTGTCTTCTAAATCAAAGGAATTTAATTTGTCCCTAGGGAAGCAGGGGATTTTAGATTATCTGAAATTTTTTCCACCATCATGACAACTTAGAACAGAAGAGGTTTGGAATATTTTTCTAGGAATCTGAGTTTTAAGTTGGCATTATTAGGAAGCTTTTTAAGATTTTAATTTTAATATGGAAGCATAAGATTGTCCTTCACCTTTTTTTAACCCAGAAGATTTCTAACCATCATACTTGCTTGCCTGTGCTGCAAGAGTGGTCACATTGTCTTGGATTTATATTGTGTATTAGTATACGTCTCAGTCTGAGATATAGTATGAGTTTAGCATTCTAGAATGTACCAACATCTGTCTAATCTAAACCTGTTTTACTACAGTCTGTTCATAATCTAGTAAGATTATATAACACTATTCAGCAATCATTTTATGTAAAATGGTTTGAGATTCTCCTTTGTTTGTGAGCCTACACAGCCCAAATATGCTGCTGAGGAAGTAGGGAATATAGCTGCTGTAGACTGGTGCTGAGTGTTTGCCCAACTCCACTCTCTCACATTCCCAGTCCAGGGGATGCTCAGGTCTATTCTGAAGCAGCTTGGTTGCTAGTAGTTGGTATGTGCCCAGCAGCAGAAGTACAAGTAGCTGTTACCTAATATTTTTTTAATGCTTGAGACGGTTGAGGGGGAATCTGTAAAGCAATCAACCAAAACTATATGTCTGTATGTATTGTTAGAGGTAGAGAGAGAGAGAGTGTGTGTGTGTGTGTGTGTGTGTGTGTGTGTGTAACACACTCTCTCTCCCTCCCTCTAACAACCCGTCTTGTGACCTGCTGTGGTTCACTTGACAGTCTAAAAAACACACTTTTACAGTTACATCATTCTTAGTCCCATTAACAAAGACTGCACTGTGCACCTGCGTTCCCGCATGCTCATGCACTGTCACAATTATGCAAAAGACTACTTCAGTCCCTGCCCCCACTTCCCTTCCCAACTCCTCCGCCTGTTTGCCCAGTCCTTTTACTCTTTTACTCTTGATTCCTTTCTTTTCTCAAGTTATCCACGGAAGTCCATTAACTATATTTCTTTGTCAACAGGTTGCTGGTTGGAGCACCTCGGGAGAAAGCTTTCCCAGCCCAGCAAGCTAACAGAACTGGAGGATTATATTGGTGTGACATTATATCAGAGACATATTGCACACGTGTCATGTTTGATGAGAAAAGTAAGCTCTCTCCTATTTTTGTTTTAAACTGAAGCAACTGCATGGGGCACAGGGCTGTCCAATTTCTAAGTGGCCTGGGGCAGCTGGAGGCTGGAGCAGGGTGCCCAGGGCTCCTGTTACAAATGAGCTGATGAGAGTTGTGGCTGAGCAAGAGTCCTGGGACTGTAACTTAACCATGCAGCCAATGGGCTGCCAGTTGGACAGTCCTGGCTTATCAAACAGCAGGGTCATGAGAGTCTTTACAACCGGATGTGATCATCTTTTGTTCATTTAAAAAAAAAAAAAAAAAAAGGGAAAAGTTACTTTTTAGAAACTTTAAATATATTTACAGTTGTTCTTATCTGTTTTTTGAAGATGCATAAATCTTGGTTTAATTACTAAAGCTGCATTAAAGCAACAAAAATCTGTGATAAAACTAATGTTGATTGCCAATTAAGACTTTGTGACAACATGTATAAACAGTGCCACCTAAAGACCATTTGAGGTACTATGTAAAACTGCTGAAAATGTTGCAAAAAATGTTCATTTTACTGCTTTTAATTGTAATATGGGAACTGTTTTGTGGTGATCTACAGCTGACCCAGAGAAAGAAAGTAAAGAAGACCAGTGGATGGGTGTAACTGTCCGAAGCCAGGGACCAGGAGGGAAGGTGGTGGTAAGTCTGGGATATTCTTAAACATCTTTTCAGGCTTATAAGCCATGTAAGAAAGTTACCTGGAGAGGTGTAACCTTTCAGAGCACTCTGTAGATTTTGTTGTTGTCTTCTAAATCAAAGGAATTTAATTTGTCCCTAGGGAAGCAGGGGATTTTAGATTATCTGAAATTTTTTCCACCATCATGACAACTTAGAACAGAAGAGGTTTGGAATATTTTTCTAGGAATCTGAGTTTTAAGTTGGCATTATTAGGAAGCTTTTTAAGATTTTAATTTTAATATGGAAGCATAAGATTGTCCTTCACCTTTTTTTAACCCAGAAGATTTCTAACCATCATACTTGCTTGCCTGTGCTGCAAGAGTGGTCACATTGTCTTGGATTTATATTGTGTATTAGTATACGTCTCAGTCTGAGATATAGTATGAGTTTATTATGATTACAAAGCAGTAGATGTCCCTGGACATTTTACTGGCCTTTGAGCTAGGGTTGAGGAGTGAATTAACTTTGTAATAAGACCTTGTATTAACGAGGCTAGTCATGATATGAGGCCATACCATTTTTTATTTTACATGGTGCAGAGTAGTTGTTTCATAACTTAATCATTGAATGATACCATAAATCTCTGTAGCTAAATAATTGTCCTTGTTACCAAATATACTTTGTAGAGTAGTGTGGTGCCAGCTACATGTTAGGTACAAGTATGTGCTGAGAACTGTGGCTGTGCTCTTGCATGGGAACTCTTCCAGCCTCACTACCTCCAAAATTGGAGCAAGCTATTTAAGGAAATGCAGGAGTCAGTTAGTACTCCCAGAGTAGGTAATTACTTGTTCTGATATGCCTCAGAACCTGAGTGGAGGGTCAACTTCACATGGCCATGAACAGGGAGACAATAGCTATCTGCTGAGCAAAATGTGTGGGAAGAGCAATTCCCTTCCCACAAATCCCAGTGAAATATGGCAAATGTACATGTGAGATCTGCCATATGCAGAATTTCCAGTAACTGTATGAGTGATGATGTAGTCTCTATGGTAGGTGGTATGTTTTTCATTCCTACCCAACACGCAGATGTTACAAGATATGACTCCACTGTTCTGCAGAACGCAAGCAGGTGGACTAGATCCTCAGCAGACTTAGGCGCTTAAGTTGTGCCTAACTCCACACATGCTGAATTACAGAACTGTGATCTTCAAAAGTTCTGCTGAGCTCTGCCTGGCTCTGGAGGTGCCTGAAGTTCATGGGAGCTGGATCAGGCAGTTATCCTATGTTTTCCAGGACAGTCCTGAGTTTTCAAGGCGCTGTTTCAGTGTCCCCAAAAAGTCCCTGAAATGGCACCTTTGGTCTGAATTCGGAAAATCTGATCCTCACTCTTTGTAAGTTTCTGCAGTGCCAGACAGTTTAATTTGTCTGGTTTCATTGCTAAACAAATGTTACTGCACTGATCCCAGTTCAGGAAGTAGCCTCAGGATCTGCTTCTCAGTGTACATAGCACAACACTGCTAGCTACCACAGGAGGGCAGTTCTGCTTCTTCTGGTTTGGAAGACCTAATCTGCTGGCTTACAGTGCCTCAAGAAGGTGGTCACCCTAGCTGGAACTGGTAATGGTGTAGACAAATTGTGGATCTGGACAATGTGGAGCATGTAGAGTTGCCTCCCGGATTTTGCTTCCTCCAAATTGGTTGCCATATGATGAATCTTATCATGAAAAATTAAGGCTTCAGCACCTTAGTCTTTATAGTACTGAGTCACTGAGTGCCTGCCTCATGCCTAAACCCTGCTGAGATCCATAAACAAGGTGTCATCAGTATGTGTCATCTCAGTAGACCCATCTCTTGGATATGATGCCAGACATGTGTTGGTGGTGAAACTATCATTTTTTATGCAATAGGTCAGTGTTTAGAGGACTTGCCTAGTGACTGCTTATGTATCTTATATTAAATGGCCTTTGGTTATAAAATTATAAGCAGTCATTTGAGTAGGCACTAGGATCCTCCTTGGAAAATGTCCTGATCATGAGACTACAATCACAAGCTCTGCTTCTCTTTTTCTCTATCCAAATAAAACTTTGATTGTGTTTTGCTAAGTGGATAGGCCAGAGCCCATTTCTTGGTGCCTGAGCCTTCCCGTATATCATATAGGGAGCCTATTCTTCCTAAGTTTAGAATGATGGACCCTGCTACAGGGGACAGATACCCAAGCCCCTTGGCTAAGGGAGAACATAGCTTATTATTTGACTTCTAATGATCATTTTCAAGAAGACATAAAGAAGCCATAATATGTTTTGGTTATCCATTATATCCTGGTTCTTCTTGCAGACATGTGCACACCGCTATGAGAAAAGACAATACGTGAACACTCTTCAGGAAACTCGTGATATCATTGGGAGGTGCTATGTGTTGAGCCAAAATCTCACGATTGTGGATGATATGGATGGTGGAGAGTGGAGTTTCTGTGATGGTCGATTGCGAGGCCACGAGAAATTTGGTTCATGTCAGCAAGGTGTTGCTGCTACTTTCACCAGAGACTATCATTATATTGTATTTGGTGCACCAGGCACTTATAACTGGAAAGGTATGACCCTATTTCCTCCCTGTCTTGCTAGATTTTTCACCAGCAATAATTTCTTCGATGTTAAAAAGGATGTTTTTAAGGAAAAGATCTCATTGGTGTCAACCCCGAAAGTTTGTCAATTGTTCTCATAACCTGCTAAATTGTCTCAAAACATGTACATTACAAACTTAGAAGACTTAAAAAAAAGTTTAAAGTTAAAATAGAAGTAGATACACTGATTCTAATTGTATGGTAGGATTCAGTGCTTGTTTTAAAGGATGGATGTTCACATTGGAGCAAATTTAAAGTGTTGCATACATTGTTTTTAAAGTTATTGGGCCAGCACATTATTTTCTGTTTTTCAAATGCATACACCTACACTAAGGCCTTTTTTCATACTTGGTCCCACAGTGTACTTGTTCCTCTGTGTTTGTGATATCAGTCCCTCGCTGCAGAAACTAATTTATCCTGAACTCAATACTGCAGGTAATGAGAAAGTGACCAAAGGCCAAGTATGAAAAAGGAAAAGAAAAAAGAAAACCAAACAAAAATGTAAATATTTAAGGGAAAATCCTGGCTTTTACTTAAGTAAAGTTTTCACTGGCTTCAGTGTTCTACTTAATAAAAACTAAGGGCTTGGCCCATACCCAAAAAATACTGCACCTCTTGGAAAAATAAATGAATAGATGTGTCTCATTCAGTCTTTGTGTAAAAGCTTCTAATGCCAGTCCTGCCTCTCTTCTTAGTAATTTCTCTCTTTGCAGTTCATTAAACCAACAGCTGAAAATGCTGTCCTCCCCCTCCTGTAGAATGTGTGATCTCTGACCCCTGCTATAAATTGTTCCTTCATACACCTGTGTCTTTCATGTGAACCATGCAACATTTTTGAGTTAAGCTTGGGCACACGGTGTACTTTTGTGAAAACTTAATCTTTCACATACCTGTTTCTGTCAAGAAAATTTGACCAAGCTGAAACAGCATATTGCATTCAGAGATTGCTTTGTCTTAATTGCAGAGAACTGCTATGGTGGTATATCAGTTTTAAGAGTATTTTTTCATATTGAGGAAAACCATTTTTGCACTTTCCAAATTGTTAAATATGCCTGTCAGAAGGGAAGCACCCATTTTTATTGAACTTGACACAACTATTTTTAAAACAAAATGTTTCCCAGATGTATCATTTAGCATTTTGTACTGATTTGATAAGAATTTTATGATCAGTATTATAGGTTAGTCTCATAAGACTTTAATAGAAAATGCCATTTTATATGCTGGACTAAGAGGGTTCATAATCTGTTTGTTCCATGTTTGGTTGACAATTTTATTAGTATACCATATTTTTTAGATCATTGCATGGCATCATCATGACTCCCTCGATGCACAAAATACCATGAGACTTAAAAAGGCAGCTAGAATTTACAAAGTCATTCCTTTTTAAAATAACTTCACAAAACATGTTAGTCATTTGGCAGTTCAAACAACAATCTTGACAGCACTGTTCCTAATGTCAACCAGGGACCATTTATCTATTTATTTTCCTCCTTGTCATTCATTCATTTTTTTATTTTACCATTTCATTTCCTCAGGGGTGGTTCGTGCAGAACAAAAGAACCAGACATTTTATGAGCTGAGTATCTTTGATGATGGGCCTTATGAAGTTGGTGATGAGGCTTCCCGAGATGAAAGTCTTGTTCCTGTTCCAGCTAACAGTTATTTAGGTAGGATTAAGCACATGTGATAAAACTCTTGAGACTTTTTGAATACTCACTATCCAAATCTGGTACGATAATATAAAATATGAGCAGAAAGCAAATCATTTATGGACTGTGTAAAATACAGCCCATTCTTGGTCATTCACAGTCTTTTGAAGTGTAAGATGATACTCTGTTAAGGTATCTCTTAAGAGCTGCTAATGTAATGAGACATTTAAGAGCTTTGACAAGGGACTTCAAATTATCGGGAAATGATTATAATCACTCTCCAATGGTAACTAAGTGCTATCTATAGATCCATAGCCCTTGGCCATGTAGCTTTGGGAGTTCTGGTAAAACTTGAGTTTCTGGACATGATTGCTAAGGCCTCATATTGTATTTATCCTTACAACATAAAAACTGTAGTCAGCTGCCAGACAGTGGTTCTCAACCAGAGTGCCCTGAAAACCTGGGGTGCTATGAGAGCCTTTCAAGGGTGCCATGGAAGATTAGTACTGTTAGGTGTGCCAGCACGCACTTGTGATTCACAAGATAACCCCAGAGATTTCAAATAGAAATTCAGTGTAAAAAACTCTGACCCTGTTGTAGTCTTTCTGAGTTCTTTGCAGTAGAAGAATTTCTGTTGTTTTTCTGTAGTCAGAAATTCAAGTTAAGAACTGACACTTTCTGAGGGATGCCTTGAATTTTAAAGGGTTGAGAACCACTGTTCTAAGACTATTTGCAGTCTGGCTGTCCTAAGTAATTCAAGTACAACCTGGTAAATATGCTTTTAACAGTTTTAAACATTAATGTAGCTTGACACTGCTATAGTGTGATTTTTTTTTTTTCATGATAAATAATAAAAGAAAACTTTCCTATTTAAACCAATTTGTGAAGAAAGACAATTGTTCCTAGGTCAATGGATAGATGGGACTGCAAACCAACAGGATAACCTGGTGAAGAATAAAGCTGAACTGAATCTTTGAAAAGCTGAATAGTGTTAAGAGAAAAGTGCAAAGTAATTTGGTATCTCTACACCAGCACTTTAGAAGTTAAAAAAACCTGCTGTTTGATGCAATCAAAATGAACCCAGAAGGTTAAGTGCTGGTGATGGAAAAAGAGAGATTTAATTCTTGGCATTGCGTATGGGAACACTCACAAAAGTGAGGGCCAGCCAAGGTTAGAGCCAACTTAGAGTGAATTTTTTTTTCCAACTATTTAGCTGGTCTAATAAAATATATCACATTTACCCAAAGAACCTTGTCTGCAAAGTGAGCATGAGACTTTTTAAAGAGGATATAGACCATGAACTGCAGATGCAGAATGAATACAATGATCTAGGAGGCCTTTGTTCAACTGGAATAAGATCAGGAATGAATAGGTGCAGTGGACAATAATTACTGATGGTAGAGAGACAAATTGATAGCCAAACTAAGGATCTGAGAGGTCTTTTGGATTGAGGAAAGGATGCCTTAGAAGGAGTTTTTAGATCACTGTGCAGAGAATAAGACTAAAAAGTATGGTGATTAGTATTTGGTCTTCCTGTTCATCAGCATGGATTTCATATCAAACATAATACTGTATTTACATTCTAGGATGTAAATTTAACTGGTGGATTTGTCATTCTAAAATGATTTTTCTTGATTTGCATCTTTCAAATTCAGTTACTTTTCTCTTTCATTGGCATTTATTGGCAGTTGCTATGCCCTAGGTTATTATGAGCCTGCATGGTTCTGCAGTTGCTTTGCTGTTTAACGACCATATTTTTATTCTTCTTTGATCTCTTCCTTCCATATATGTTTACAGGTCTTCTGTTTTTGACAAGTGTTTCTGATACTGATCCTGATCAGTTTGTATACAAAACACTACCTCCCAATATAAGGGTGGACAAATCAGTGGATGTGATGATGAATAGCTACCTAGGTTTGTGACCTCTTGAGGTGACAATATATATGGTCTCAATCATAGTTTTTTGTTTTTTCTTTTTGTTTAAACATCTACGTAAACTTGGACACACTTTTTTCCCATTTCAAATACACTTGGATTAAGTCATGTGATGGCAGGGATTCAGATGAAGGATAACTTGGAAAGTAAGATGCATTTAAGACAAATTAACCTGCAGTGTAATTCTTAATGCATCCTGGGGCCGCCTTACCAAGTTTATCTGAAACTCTGTCTTGCAGTGATTTTTTTGTAATTGAGAATTGGAATGGCAGTGGTGAAGGATTACAGGAGGATAAAAAGGGCAGCCTCACTTACTATTTTTTTATGCTTCTCTCCTAATCTAGACTTTTTTTCCTTTGAATTTGTGACTCTGGCGAGTGAAAACTTTTTAGCACAAATTCATGCCACGTTCCAATATATGCAATAATCATATTTAAAGTATGTGAAACAACTCAAACCCCCTTTTTAAAATTTAGGTTTGATCCTGGACATTTAGGGCTTCATTCACTTAAGTATGTCATTTACAAACATATTCAGGTTAATACTGCTAATTTCACCACTACAGATTCTCAAATACGGTGTAACAAATTAACATAAGACACTGTGCTTGTGCAGTATACTTTGCATGTATATGACTGAGAGTGCTTTGTTTGTTTGTTTGTATGTATGTTTGTGTGTGTGTGTATAAAACTTCATAAGTACTATTCATCCTGTGTTAAAATAAATACTTAAGCTATATTAAAGTGGTAAAGTTTGACTTGATCTTAAGTTAATACATTTTTAAATGGCTGCCGTAAGCATATATGACGTATATGAAAGGTACTGCATGGTCAGTAAAATCTGATACTATATAGACAGTAAGAGGTGGAGATTTGTGTCTGTATATACAATGTTTAATACATACATGTACAGACAACATCAGATTTTATTGAGCAAGCATGCTTATGGTGGATTTATATAAGAAAAATGTTTTCTTCAGGCCCTTCATATCTCTAGCAAGAGCACAGATATAAGCCTCATAGCATTTTATATTCACACTTGTGCACTCTTAAGCTGTTTGGTTTTTTTCCAGCTGATCTAAAAGCTACTGGAATGACTAGCTTACACTCTGGATATATTTGCTAAATTTGGTTGCAGTACCACTACTAAAAACCACTTTAATATAGTGTGCACATGTACTTTTCATATTTAATGATGGAAAAAAAACTTACTTTTGTGTGTTCACTTTTTGTTCTAGGTTTTTCTTTGGACTCTGGCAAAGGTATTGTGTCTCAGGAGGAGATAACTTTTGTGTCTGGTGCACCACGAGCCAACCACAGCGGGGCAGTTGTTTTGCTAAGAAAAGATCCTAGTATTCCGAGAGCGCTTTCACTTGTGCATATATTTGAAGGAGAAGGGCTAGCCTCTTCGTTTGGCTATGATGTTGCAGTTGTGGATCTCAATAAGGATGGGTGAGGCTTTTTTTTTTTTCCTACTAAGTTCTGATTTTTGCATTGCTATGGTGTCTTCCGGGTAAAATAGCTGCCTAAACATGTGCTCTGTGGGGGAGTGGTTGGGACAGGGGGGAGGGTGTTTTAATTACAGTGGTTTCCAGACAGCTACTCTAATTAAAATGGCTTACTGTCACATGTATTAAGCCTCCAGGTATTTTAAAATGGCCTCAAGACACTTTATCTAACGGTCATTTGACGAAGTTTAGATATGGCCCTTACAGTCGTTTTAAAACACGCAAGAGCTTAATACATGACCGTGTGGCAGTGCTTAAGCTTAAGCATTCTAATTAGAACGTGGGGCAAGCTCAATTAATTGAGTTTTCTCCAACGCGTTCTAATTAGAATGCAAACGAGCCAATGTTTTGTTTTTTTTTTTTAAAAAGTGACTTGAAGATGCTGAGAAAAAGGGAAGGTGTATATATTTTTTCTCCTTCTCCTTTATGCTATGTAAAGAAGACTTGCTAAGTTTTTAGTTTTCTTACTTTGTTTTTGGGCTGTTTTTCCTGCTTGGTTTTGACCCTAGGAATGGTAAGTTCCGTGTCCTCCAGCTTTGTGGAGGACCTGCTGAGGGTCTTGGAGTAGACTGGGCAAGCTTTCCTTGTTAACTGGAGGGTGTTAGTAGGGGAAAAAAGTCTAATCACTTATGGGCAACTAAGTTTAGAAAATGAATAAAGCACAAAAAAGCAGGAAAAATAAACTAATTCTGATACATAAAGAAACACTCTTGATCATTCGTTATATATCAAAGAAGGGGGAAAAGTCTGAAACTAAACTGTCACTTTAATGAATGCCCTTAGGTTCATTCTTGTTACTGTACCCATTTAATGTACTTTTTAACAACCTTTGCTACCTCTTTGTCAGACCAACTGACTTAAAGACTATGGGCTTGATGTAATTTAAATTGACGGGCATTTCCAGTTACTTTTCATAGCTCTTTTAAAATTGTTGTGTTTTATTTTAAGTTGGCAAGATATTGTTGTTGGAGCCCCACAATACTTTGAGAGAGATGAAGATATTGGTGGTGCTGTGTACATCTACATGAATCAGAACGGCAATTGGGAAGGCGTGAAGCCAGTTCGCCTTAATGGAACTACTGATTCCATGTTTGGTCTTGCTGTTGAAAGTATTGGCGATGTTAATCAGGATGGATTCCCAGGTGAGAAAGCAGGCCTTGAAATAAGCGTATGCCCATTTTTGCTCAAAACCAGTTTCTGAGCACCTCATGCTATCATGGATGTAACCATTCAAAGATTCTTCTGAATATCGTAATTTCTTTTCAACAGATATTGCAGTAGGGGCACCCTATGATGGTTCAGGCAAGGTGTATATATATCATGGATCTAAGAATGGAATAAATACAAAAGCAACACAGGTAATTAAGATAATATGCTCAACCTTGAATTGGTGTTAAACATAAGAAGTTACCCTGGCACGTTAGGACTACAAATATCTACTTCCCTCCCACTTCTACCAGTGAAAAAGGGGTATATAAGAAAGCTCTTTGGGGTTGTACAAAGGGTGTGTTGTTGGCAAAGAAGATCAGGAGTGGTTAATTTAATACTGAGCCCTTCTACTGAGGAAATCAGTGTAGAGTTCATTATCACTAATAGGAAGTAGGGAAGGGGCCACTGGCTACATAAGCTCTATTTCATAAGGGATCTGCTAATACCAGAGAGCCGTTGATTAGAGCCCAGACATTTTTTATTTTTTTTTAAGCAAAAGTTTCTCTCCTTTGAGGTGTCTTACCTAAATGAAGTATTCTCAGAATTCCTTGATATTTTTAGTTTTTGAGTATGAAACCTTTGATATATCCTTTTTAAGAATCTTAAACGCTTCATTCTTGACAATCTGTTTGTTTTTAGATTCTTGATGGTGAAAAAAATAACATTCAATTCTTTGGTTATTCTATTGCCGGAAATATGGATCTTGATAGAAATTCCTATCCTGATATTGCTGTTGGGTCACTTTCAGATTCTGTATCTGTTTACAGGTAGGTATATAATATTTTACTAAATCTATGTTGATTTTATTTTTTAACACTCTTCTTTGAAGAGACCGGTGTGTTTTCTCAGGTTTGTAATGCGTATTTTAATCCTGAGGTTCAAAACTCTGTTTCTGCTATTTGAATGGTTAGAGCAAGGGTTGAACTCAGCCCCCTTCATACCAAGATGTAAACAGATTGGGGGTGAATGAGAGAGTTGGTGAATCCACGACCACAGATCTATCATCTCTTAATTGAGGCATTTTAACTCATTTACTCTATACAGCTCCTTGTTGTAATGCAGTGGCAGACGTAGACTGTACAAGTTTTGTTATCATCTCTTCCGTGCCAACCACTTTGGTTTCTCCTTTAAGGAACCCTACAGGTGGGCCGAATAACCCACTTCTTCATTGTCTTGTCTCTCAATTAGGCCCAATTTCTCATGTGCTAATTCTGTTAGTTTAACTCCAGTCTGTTTGTTCGGTAGTTATAATTTTGATCTAACCCTTGGGTAGCATTAACAGACCTTTTTTGTTTGGATTAATTTGGTTCTAGTCTGTCTTTTCCTATTATAAAAGCTTCTGTTATCTCAAGTGTTATAACAATCAGTGTTATGTTACAAACTTTTTTCCACCATCATTTGAGCTGATAGCTTGGGTAGGCCTGTATCACAATATACCAACTTGGGCCTCTAGGTACTATCATAGTGCAAACAACAATAATTTATTTCCTGCTGCAGTCTTTCAGCTGAGTGCCATAGATGTGGGGCATATGCTGCCCATAGGTTGCAGTAGTGGGGCTAAGTGAACTATTTTGGCCTCTTATGGCTACCTCAAGCCTGTATTTTAGCTATTAATGCTTTGTATTGAACACAGGCTTTGATCATGAGAAGATCTGGTGTTAATGTAATTCCCCTCAACATACAGCATCACTGACAATAAGCAGGAAGGGGAGGATTTGATCAGGACCATGAACCCATTTCAAGTTCAGAGTTTTGGTGCTTATCTTCAGGACTCTCCATGTTTAGGGTTCAGCATAGCTAAATGGGCATCAAAAGCTCCAGGATGAAGGCCATGCTTGACAACTCGTTTCCTTGGGCATAGTGAAACTTTACCATAAAGGTAAAGCTCATCTCTATAGGAGATGGAGCTTTCTGGGAGGCCAGTCTGAGACTGGAAAAACTCCCATGGGAACTAAAGAGAAATCTTCCCTTCAGAAAAACTTTAAAAAACAGAACACTCCACTGCACATGCAGTTCTTCCTCTGATGAGGATGGGAGAATAAACCACACATGACAAATTTGTCATACTGGTTCATGGTGCACTAAAAGGTGCTTGATATTATGCTGATGAAGGCAGCACAGAAATCTAAATAAGCCAGAAGGTAAACGCGAGAATATTTAAGTTGCTGTGGTATAAAAGTGAGCCAGCGGAAGCCTCCCATTACAAAAAGGAGTACTCCATTACAATAAGTAGTACTTAAGTCCACTTTTAGGACAAATTTACCAGCATTGGTATTGCTAGAGTCAATAGTAAAAACCCTATTTTTATATATTTTTTTTTTGTTTGTTTTGGTCAGGCTTGTTTATCTTGTCTAGAATATGCTTTGTTTCTAACCATACTGAACATCAAACGCAGTAATTTTTTTCAGGGCAATGTGATTTTTTTTTCAGGGTAATGGGATATAGGGTATTCAGTGTCTTCACAGTAAATCTGCGAGAGCGTAAAAGCCTTTTATAAAGTGAATGAGTAACATGACTATTTTATTAACTGTAACTTTTTGTTTCATCCCTTCAATGCTACCCAAAATAAGGTCTCGGCCTGTTATAAGCATTAAGAAAACAATTAAGATATTGCCTGACAAAATTGACTTAAACAGAAGAACCTGCCTTGAACCCAGTGGAATCTGGTAAGGTGTTTAATTTATTTAATTCTGAGGCTTGGCATAATGAGTGTTTCTTATTTTGTTTCTTAGGCTTCACAGAAAAAAAACAAAAACTTATCAGACTAGTTTTCATGTTATGAGCACAAAACTTTAACTATCAAGGTAATTATAATGTATGTTTGAGTCCCAATATGGACTCTCAGAATCTTTGGATTGTGTCTACTAGGCTGAAGTGCTGCGACAAATGAGAATTATATTTTTATCACCACAGTCAATCATTGGCTTTTGTTCTTGAGTGCAAGGACAGGGAAATGGATTTAATTGGTTGTTCCTGTGTATCTTTATTCTTTGTTGTGCAACTTTTTAGAACTTAAAATTCCTTGCTTTACTTCAGAGCTTTCTTCTGACTGAAAAAATATTGCTTGCACGGTGCGCACTTTTAACAAGAGCTAAAAGGCTAAGGTTGGGTAAGCAATGGAAAGGAATAGGAGGTTTCTTCAAAGACACATTTCACAGTAGTAAATATCAACTGTACTCTCTCTTCATTGCTCGTAGACTGTATATAGATGTCTCATTGGACACAAGACTGATTTGTTCCAGGGTTTGACCCGGATCAAAACAGGTGTGGCGCACTGTGGCAAAGTGGGAACTCCCTGACCAGCCACAGAGCTAGTCTCCCACCTGCCTCTCTCGCCTGCCACTCCTTGTTGCTAAATGATTAGGGTTTTAATTAGGTGGGAAGTTGCCCATTGAATGCCCTGTTCTCTTGAGCCTATGTATACAGCTCTAACCACCCCTAACTGGGCTCAGGTGGCCGCAGCCGTGCTTGGCCCCACTGTCTGCTCCCTGGGGCCTTGCATCCCACATGGGCTCAAGTGCCACACCAGGGCGTGCCTGGCTCTCTACTGCCTCTGATGATAAATAACCCACCTGAAGGTTGGGGCTGGGGTTAAGGTGCCCCTCCTTGCTTTGCTCTGGGGAGGTAGCTGGCCTGGCATTTCCTGGGGGCTCCCACACCTCAAAGAGCCCCACCAGGGTGCAGTTTTAGATCATGCCCAGGGCCAGGAGGCCTCCTTCCCTGTAGCCTCTCCCTGACCTCCTCCAGGTTGTTCTTGGAGCAGCAGCTCCTCCATGAGATGTTGCTTCCCTCAGCACCAGGCAGCAACTGCTGCCCCCAGCCCTGCTGGCCTGAGACTTAAGATGGCTGCTCATCAGGCCTGAGCTGCACCTGTCTGGCCCAGTTCTGAAAGTGGCAGAGCACCAGGAGTGCTCCAACACATGCCTTCCCCCTTAAAATGGTTGCTGGGGGGGCGTTTCCCCTGCTGCTCAGCCAACAAGCTTTTCCCAGAGCTTGCAACTTCCCTAAGTGGCGAGCACCTCACTGGTGCTCTACCACACATGCGCACAGCTCGTCCAAGCTGCATTGCTGCTGTTTCTCTACCAGTAGGTCAGCAAGAGCACACAGCCTGGCTGGCTTGTCTTGGAATGCCCCACGGTAATCTAATAGACACGCACAGCTGCGTCCTAGGCAAAAGCTTAGGCACATTTTATCCTACATACTTCAGAGGGAATTGAAGCAGGAAACTGGACTTGTATGTCTGTTGGATCCTGGAACAAAAGGCGTTCTCCTGGGCCCAATTCGAGGTCTATTTGCAGCCTTACACTTGAGCTTCTAAATAATAAGAATGAATAGGGTGCTGGGTAGGGCACATGTTAATTGCTCTCCCTCTGTTTAGTATCATTTTTTCTTCCCTGTCCTTGTCCATGGTTCGGAGCTCTGCTTATGTTGGCAAAACCCCCAGTGAGGGTGCAGCTTTGTATAGTGCAGCCGATATCACTCTGATGGCAGAAAACCTATAGGCAACCCCTGCTTAACACTGTTTCATTTCAAACCTGCTATTTAACTATAACACTTATTTTAAATTGATACCTGATTTCGCCTTAGCGCTCAGCGAGTTTCAGTATAACACTTGCGGTCACCATCTTGGGTCATTAAAAACAATTGCGGTAGCCATCTTTGGTCGTCATATACTTTCGGTTTCACTTAATGCTCATTTCGCTTAACGCTCAGTTTTTCAGGAACCAATTAAGAGTGCTAAGCAGGGGTTGCCTGTACTTCTACTGACAGAGCAGTACTTATTCTAGGGGGCCTAGCTGAAATGCTGCTGCCAGAATTAGTGGCAGCAGCCCCTGTACCCTTTATTAAATGCAACATGTTTGCTCATTTGAGAGCGCTTTAGATGGCTTTTTCATTACCTGGCAGATCCTCTCTAGAAGCAGATGTAATAGGCTCTTTGTATCTTAGCTATAAAAAGAAGGGTTTGATTCTTTTCTTACTTATTCATCATAAATTATTGAGACTACAGGACTACTGTAGGAGAGTAGAAGGCATGGAAGGTAGTATTAACATGGAATAACAACCCTAGGGAAATGTTAGGGTGATGTTATACGTTACCTTTAAACTGTCATAAAGGCACTTAAAACCCATTAAAGGGTGTTAACTCATCCTAAAACCCATCTAAGGGTGGGGCTGTCTTCTAGCCATTCTACCCAGGTTGAGATAAGGTATTGTTAGTCAGTTCCCTGGAGATCTAGTGATCAGTTTGCAGTCTTCCAGAATCCCAGGATGCACAGCTTCCAGGCACTCTACCCCCTCCCACCCTCTTGCAGCTCCAGGGTCTCACCACCTGACAGCTCTGTGCAGAGCACAAAACCACTGTGGCTGAAGTGCAGTGGCTGGGGGAAACATGCTTTTCCCTGGCTCCACAGTCTCGCCACCTGACAGCTCCATGGTCTGGCCTCCCAGCATGCCTCCCCTGGCCTACCGCACCCTGGCCTCCCCCTCTGAAAAGCTGGTCCCTGGTGAGGGGGGCTGTGGAAGGGGGCTCAAGGAAAAGCTTTCCCCTTCCAGCCTTCCATAGCCCCTCATAACGGGGACTAGACTTGGGGAGGCTTGAGGAAAAGCTGCCCCTCCCCTTCCCAACTACTCGACTGGATAAGGGAGAAAAGGGCCAGGGGTGTGGGAAAATTTCAATTACCCTCAGGTAAAGTCAGCTTAAATTAAGTTTTCCCATGCCTTGTGCTGGGCTTAAAAGTACAGGCTGCTCCGAGCAAGGCTTTTGGGGCGCGTGGGGAAAGTATGGGATGGGACGAGGAATCTGAGGTCTGGTTTGGAAGGGTTCTTTGCTGCTCGTTTGGAGCCCCCTCCCTCTAGGCCGGGGTGATCAATTATTTTGGGCAGAGGGCTGCTTACTGAGTTTTAGCAAGCCATCAAGGGCCACATGACAGGCAGCCAGGGGCAGATGAATATTAATTTTCTAAATTTTGGGGGTGCCCTGCAGGCCAGATAGAATGGCCCACGGGCTGCACTTTGCCCACCCCTGCTTTAGGCTGAGACGGGCCCTTGGAGGACTTGGGGTGGGGGGAGGGGAAAGCTGGAGTTCCCCTAAATCATCTCACCTGGGACAGGATTGTGAAAGGTTTAGCAGGATTTGTTGCAGGTGGTTGGTGCTTGCCAGCCCCCTCCCAACCCCTTTGGCCAGGACAGGAACGCATAGGCCCCCTGTGCCTCAGCAGTCTCCTCTCAGCCTGCCAGACTCCCCTGCCCCGACCTGATTCCAGTCCCCAACCTTTGCCAGAGGGTTTATTGGAGCAGGCTGGTGTGGGGCCATTTGGCTGGGCTCAGCTAGGAGGCTCCCCAAGGCCCAGTTCTCTACTGCTACCCACAATTCACTAATGCAGGGGTTGTGACTTGTACAAAGGGGTACATGGAAAGGTGCTAGGGGGTACAAGTAGGCGGGCAGGGATGGAGCGCCACCACCCCGTGCTGCCGTCTCCTAGGAGAAGGGCTTGGGGGAGAGGATGGGGGAAGGGCAGCGCTTCCCCTCTGTGGGCTGCACAGGTGCTGCCCGGCCAGCTGATTGCAGGCTGCCATCCACCACCTGCTGCTGCCATGTGCCAGCCCCCGCTGGCCGCCACCACCAGAAGGGGTACGTTCCTTTAAAAAAGGTCGAAAACCCCTGCACAAACGTATGAGACGGTCTTAATTTTTTTTAGGGTTGGTTGTTTTTCATTTCTATGTGCCACCCTTCCCTCTCCTCTCCCACCAGACAGGGAATGAATTGAGTTTGGCCACAGCACTGCTTGCTAGCCCTCTAGTGACAAGTCACAGTTATGCAGGTCAGAGATGGCATTAAGCCTTAACCTGCGACTGCTCTGAAACTGTCCTAAGTTCATGTTGGCTAAAATGTTTTAAAGGTAACCTGTAATAGCACCCTCACATGGGCTTTTCACTAGAAATATGAAATTGGACTTATCTTCCTATGGAACAGACAGTAAAACAGAAACTAATCTGATTGTACAGAAAGAAACTCCTTGACCAACATAACTTTGGGCAGTGACCTGTTATGCACTAGCTTCCTATAAGCTTCTGTACGAGCGCTGACGGTGACTAAAACTAATTAATCATTGTAATCATTACACCTGTGCTAACAGAATGCAGAGTAGATGAGAGACTGCTGTGAGAGAGATGGCATTTTCTGTCCTCTCAACATGAATGCAAATGACTATACAAGGTTCATGGCAACAGAGAATTGCTCCCATTTATTTTTAAACAGGCCCTCTCTACACATTACAGATATCACACAATTAACTGGCTAATTGCATAATTACCTTAAGACCAGCTACATATGCTATCATGACATAAAACTCCAACTGACTGTAACGTTAGACCTCGAAAATGTGTTCTAACTTTATAGGTGATAGTTATTGAGCTTTAATTTGCGCCGCCCCCCCCCC